CCTAGCATGTGCCAGGCACTCCACAGTCCGTACCTGATTCTGTTATCCCCATTTTACAGACGGGGACGTCAGAAAGGCGAGGTGCTTGCCCAAGTGCCTGTAGGTTGTAAGTGAGTGAGGGGGTTGGGAAGGCAGGTCTAGATTATTCTGAGCCCCGTGGCCTTTCCTCTCCTTAGCTGATCACTAGCTCGTGACCTCTTTGCTTTCACCGGGTCATTTGCAATGGCTTTCTGACCGGCCTCCCACTCCAGGCATTGTCACTGCTATCCCTGTCACACCACTGCCAGGCGAAGATTCCTGAAGCAGAGCTGGGATCGCTATTGTGTGCTTCTGCTCAGAGCCTTCCATGATGATTTCCCTTTGCCCACTGAAGGCAATTGTCTTAGCCTGGCATTTAAGGCTTTCTCTCCAGCCTCCTCTTCCACTAGCTGCCTGCAGTCCACTCCGCTCAACCAGACTCAGGGGCTGCCTTGTCCCACTGCCCCCACACCTCTGAGAGCCCTTCAGCTCCCGCACACCCGCCTCAGTCACCTGTTCCCTTCTAGCACTCACCTCCCAGGACTCTCGTTCTGTTTTCAATGTTCTTGTTTATGGCCATGTCTTCTATCCCCTCTCACACTGTGTCCACTCTCAAAGGCAGTGTCAGGAAAGGCCTGAGAAGGACTTTTCCTGGGGAGAGTTCTTGGGAACACTGTGAAGGAGGTGGGACAGGGCAGGGAGAGTTGAACTGCTATTGCAGACGCGTCTCAGCTGATCCCCTGGGGAGCTCTGGAGCTGGGCTGGCGCTTCAGCTGTGGTAGTGAGAGGTGTTTCACCCTAGGGGTGAGATTCAGGCTGCCTCTAGCAAGAGGAAGTGACCTTGGGTGGGGCCACTTCTCCCACAGAGGGCAGTTCCCAGAGAGGCGTTCACTCCCTCACGCATGAGCCTTCAGTGCTCACCTCCCCTGGCAGCTGGAGGATCTGGTGTCAGGCCTGCAGGGAGGTCACCCCAGGGGCCTCGGCACCTTATTCATCTGTCAGAGGCACTTGGGGAACATACAGTAAAGGCCCCACCCTGGCGGCTTCTGCCCGTGGACCCCTCCCAGGTCAGAAGCTGGCAAACCTGTTCTGTAAAAGGCCAGATGGTTTGAGGCTCTGCAGGCCACATGCTCAAGGGTGCTACGACTCAACTCTGCTGTTTTTAGCACCAAAGCAGCCACAGACCATATATCAGCGAATGAGCATGGCGGTGTGCTAGTGCTTGCTCCTGTCCCAGGTGCTCCTGAGGGACAGCCAGGTTTAGGAGCCACTGTCTTTCACCAGGAAGGAAGTGTGGGAGAGAGGAGAGAAGAGGATGTGCAGGGACTAGTCCCAGATTAAGTACATTTCTCATTCTGAAGGCAGGTTTTTTTAAAAAAATATATTTTTTATTGATTTTTTTACAGAGAGGAAGGGAAAGGGATAGAGAGTTAGAAACATTGATGAGAGAGAAACATCGAAGAGAGAGAAACATTGATCAGCTGCCTCCTGCATACCTCCTACTGGGGCTGTGCCCGCAACCAAGGTACATGCCCTTGACCGGAATCGAACCCGGGACCCTTCAGTCTGCAGGCTGATGCTCTATCCACTGAGCCAAACCGGCTAGGGATGAAGGCAGTTTTTTTGTGTGTTTTTTTTCAAATATATTTTATTGATTTTTTACAGAGAGGAAGGGAGAGGGATAGAGAGTGAGAAACATCGATGAGAGAGAAACATCGATCAGCTGCCTCCTGCAAACCTCCCACTGAGGATGTGCCCGCAACCAAGGTACATACCCCTGACCGGAATCGAACCTGGGACCTTTCAGTTCGCAGGCCAACGCTCTATCCACTGAGTCAAACCGGTCAGGGCGGAAGGCAGTTTTTAAGGGTATTCAAGTCTGACTGGTAACATTGGGTTATGAAGGCATTCGATATTTTATTATGCAAATCATGCTCTTGTCTTGAGTGGGATTTGGGAAGAAGACAGTATCCTGGCATCACCAGGAGCTCTCCCTGCCTCGGCCCCCAGGAATGTTGGGATCCTCCTGTCCCTTCATCACAGGTCCCTTTTGACTCAGAGGTTCCAGGGCAGCTGCTGTGGCCTGGGGTGCTTTCCCTGCTGGCCCTCCACACTTGCAAGGATGGGGAGCTTCTGCCAGGAGGCGTGAGGGATCATCAGTCTCCCTGTACCTCGCTGAGCTCCGCTCACCTTTCCTTAACCCTCGCTCACCAACCCTCGCTCACCGCCAGGGGCTGTAAGGCCCAAGCTGGAGTCTTCAAAAGTCACCACCTTTGGTTGGTTTGGGTCTGGCAGCTGATGAATAGGTTGCTGTTACGATGTTTACTCTTCTGAATCAGGTATTCCTTTGTAGCGACAGAGCCTTCTAGTCATTGTGCAGGCTTCAGAAAACATCCAGGGAACTGAGAGAAAAGGCATCATTTAAAGAGCGCTGCCAAAATGTTAACAAAGAGACCCAGGGAGAGTGCCATGCCCGTAAGCCTTGTTTTTTTCTTCTTTGTGCACATGAATTCGAAGTGCAAACACTGACTGCAGCATTCTTAGAATCCCCAAATCCCATGGCCATACGCAAAAAATCAGTGGGGAATAGAACAAAAACTTCTAGGAGAAGCTGATTTAAATACTGCCTCCCCCCACACACACCCACACCCCGCACACCCACACATATGGACATACACCAGAAACTATACCTTCACGAGGATTGCCTCTTCCCAGCAGACACCATGGAGTTGCAGTTGCTCAGAACAATTCTGGAACCCCTTAATTGTCGCCGTAGGTATGGTTTAAACATAACATTTCAAACATCTATATATTTAAAAGTTTTAAAACTAAAAGACGCATTTTCAAACACACACACACACATATATAAATTGAGAGACTAGTATAATGAACCATCATCCAGCATCAACAATTATTAGCACATGCAAATCTTGTTTCATCTCTATCTCCATTCCCCTCCACCAATTGGATTATTTTGGAACAAATTCCAAAAGTCCTGTACCTTCATCTCTAAATACTTTAGTATGGATCTAAAAGATAAGGACTCTTAAAAAACATGTAAGATCGAACCATATGAAATTGTCATTTGGTTGTCATCAGTAACCATTCTCTACATGAATTATTTCATTAGGAATTGCAAATTGCGGTGTTCTAACATTTCTTTAACTTTTATTAGCTGGAATTATTTTTTTTTAAAATATATTTTATTGATTTTTTACAGAGAGGAAGGGAGAGAGATAGAGAGTTAGAAACATCGATGAGAGAGAAACATCGATCAGCTGCCTCCTGCACATCTCCCACTGGGGATGTACCCGCAACCCAGGTACATGCCCTTGACCGGAATCGAACCTGGGACCTTTCAGTCCGCAGGCCGATGCTCTATCCACTGAGCCAAACCGGTTTCGGCATAGCTGGAATTCTTTTATAGCTTCCCCTCATGCTCACTTGGTTTCCCTGAAAAGGTGGCGTAAATGCCTGCTTCCCCCTTTCACGATCAGTTCTCGGTTTGCTCATCTGATTGTACAAGTTCAACTCCTTTCAGAGTTCCCAGGTCTTGCTGTCATCCGCCCATTACCGAGCTCTTCTCAATGATGAATATTAAGCTTCTGCCTTCTTTTCGTCTGGCTCCCATCCATGTTGTTCCGCTCTCTGCAAGAAAAACAACGCAAGGGTAGCCCTGCCACATTTCAGGAGCAGAGACGGGCAGAAGCAAGTGTTGCTGTGGTTACAGAAATAAGTGAAGTCTTAGAATCAAGCACAACATGGAGTGGTCAGAGTGTAAATCCTGGGTCCCTAAAGGACCTTGTGCCGAGATGACCAAGTTGAATTTGAATCTAAGTACCAGTAACAGTGGTGGCAGAAGTGAGTAAAGGGGCCTGCAGGATGCAAAACTAGTTATGGTCCCAGCCCCACAGTCCCACAACTTCCCTAGGAACCAAAGGCCCTTGAGA